CTTGGCTGATATTCTCAGCAGCAGAAATTCGAGGCAGCCATGAAACCCATAAGGTCTGAAGTCTTTGGGCACTGTTGTCTCTTCATGTGCCATACTTTATTTGCATTGGATATTGGCATAATCCTATAAAACAATTTTTTTAACAGAGAGGTGATATACTAGAATTTTATGTGCTTGTTAATCCCTGGCATCATATCTTTGTTGTAAACTATGCTGGTACCATTAAGTAAAAATTTATTTTTATACACATATATATATAATTTATTTATGTATTTATTTATATAATTATTTAAATATATAAATATATTTTATATATTTTAATATGTATATAAAAATATATAAATAAATATATGTAAATATGTGTGATTTTTATATAAATATTTATATATTCATATAAATTATATATTTATATAGAATTATATTTATATGTTTAATTATAATTATATATTTATATTATAATATATTTATATATTCATATAAAACTATACATAAAATATAATAAATTAAATATACATAATGTATAATACAGTGTATATACACACATGTGCATTTTAGAAAAGAAATGTTTTAAGGTTGACTTACAAACGTGGGTATAACTGATCAAAGACAAATACGTAATTCAAAAATATTCACAACTCTCTTTTAGATTTTATAGTATTAGATTATGGATAGGCTTACCAAAGGAGACTGACAAATGCAGAGTATAATGGAAGAATTCTGTCCCAGCATCTCACTCTGTTTTCCCATTGTGTGCCTAAGGAATATAGACACATTGTTATTATTGCTGGGCTTCCTGTTTGCTTCATTTTAAGTAAACCTTTCTTATAAAATATGGAAAACTTTGGGAAAATCTCCTTTTAGGTATCAGTGGCTTACTCATTCCTCTCTATCATATATATTGTATAGTTTTATTTTCCTACATTGGTCACTACTAAGTCTTCAATTTATTGAATAGGAAACTATTACTTCGTCACCACCTGTGATAATTACTGAGGTTATTTGCATTTCTTCTAGCATTTAGTAGAGGGAAGACTAGAAGCTTTCTGACACTAGGTTCCATACACCTGAAGCAAGTGTATGTTGAAACAGCACTATCATTTATCTTTAACTCTACGTAAACTATGTTTCTCTAACACCGTGACATGCCAGGGGCACTAACATGAATCAATTAGAGGCCACGGGCTCCTAGCATGAATCAACCATGCCGATTGACTTTCAGCTTCCTTTTCTGGGAAGCCAACGTTTGCTTTTTAAATGAGCTTCCTAAAATCCTAGGCTAGTTACTATGTTCACTGGTGTTTTGTTTTTTCTAGTATAGGAATTCCTCTAGGAAACTGAGAGAGAATGATAAAGACAGAAATTTACCTTGTATTTTGGGCCCTGGCTTTTCTATCTCTGATATTTAATATGAGGTCTTTCTTTGCCCTTATCTGTTACAGGCTGACTGAGAGCTGAATAGGCAGAAGGATAAGATGACACCTATTTTACATGTGCATTATTTTACTTTATCAATAAAACACAGACTTTCTTTACATATTTGGGATTTTCTCCCCCAGTTTGCTGAAAATGAAAGCACAGTTCAGTGCTTCCTTGTGCATGCCTTCCCTCACATTATTCATTTTTCTGATTTGTTTAAAAGAAAACTGCAACCTGTAGAGAACAGCCTGAAGCTGCAGGGGGAGAAAACCTTTAACAGCTGTCTGGGGCCTTGCCAAGGGGCATAGATCTCTCATTGGATAGAAACCATTTTTCTCCTCTTATCCATTGCTTCCCACTCCACTACTAACGGCCCTAGACAAACATGCAGACCTGCCAAGCATAACACGATCACACCTAGCCAGCCATGGCAGCCAGCCATGGGAGATAGGCCCTGACCATGCTGGCTGCGGCTGGGTCTACCCTTTCATCTCGGGGTTTGTCTAGGCAGCTTCTCTTGCCTCTCTATTCTTGTGATGATATTAATGTTTCTAGAAAGACAGTGGCATTTAAATTTTTCAGTATTAGTTCTTTTTTGGTCTTTAAAGTTTGAACTGTCTTCAAGTTTTATAAACAGTAGGTGGAGACACAGATAAGTTCCCTGATTCATTTCCTGCACTCACTGGAGATAAAGTGGTAGGAGTTAGGCAAGCACATGTTAGAAAAATGGAGGCAGGACAGGCGTAGTAGATTATACACGTAATCCTAGCTCTCTGGGAGGCTGAGGCAGGCGGATTGCCTAAGCTCAGGAGTTCAAAACCAGCCTGAGTAAGAATGAGCCCCCGTGTCTATTAAAATAGAAAAACTAGCCAGGCATTGTGGTGGGCACCTATAGTCCAGCCACTCAGGAGGATGAGGCAAGAGGATCTCCTGAGCCAAGAGTTTGAGATTTCTGTGTGCTATGATGATGTCACAGTACTCTATGGCAGGCCATAGAGACAGACTGTCTCAAAAAA